GCGTGCCGGGCGCCCCCCCCCAGCCTAGGCACGTGCAGCGGGAAGCCCAGGCTGCTGCTCGGTAGGTGAAAAAGCAAGAGTCGGGTGTTCAGTACCCTAGAAATTACCTGAAAAATGACTGCCTGCGGTTGTACCACGCACTGTCTCATCAGCATGGAGCACCACTGCCATAGCATGGAGGAGAGAAAACACAGACACGTGAAACGAGGAATATATAAAAGGAGAGACCGAGAAGGACAAACCGAAAGGAGGGGGCAACACAGGGGTCTCGTGTGCTCCCCCTGCCCCATCCCGCTGGGCTCGGGTGGACCGGACCTGGGCACCTGGCTGGGGCTGGGACCCCCGCAGGGATGGCCCCCAGGGAGCAGAGGAGGGGGCAGGAGAGGGGTGGTCTCTGGGTGACCACGGGCACCCCCTGAGACGGGCAGTGGAGACTGCACGGTCCTTCCCCACCAGCCTTCCCTGCAGAGTGAAAATGGGAAGGTGTCTGCGCTGGGAGAAGTTTGGCACCGGCCTTCACTGAAAAAGCTTTATTTCTAAATGCTGTCCCCCAGGGCAGGGGAGGTGGTGGGCGGACGGAGGGAAAAGGGGTGCAGGAGTGTTTCGGTACCATTTTCAAACAATTTACACAGTCTGGCCAGAGGTGAAGTGGCGAGACAGCCCACCACCAGCTTCACCCTGCACTTCCACAGGCGAAGACAGCTGAGAGGCCAACCCACGCGACACGTACAGCAGCTTTCTGTTTGAGATTGACCTGGAATTTTATCCCAAAGCAGCAGGCAAAGATGGATGCACAGCGGGGAACAGGACCACTCCCTAAAACATCCTGGTATGGGAAACTCAGAGAGGTCCCATGGGCCGGGATGAGCCCTGCGGCAGCGCTGCGACCTGGGCGGCGTGAGACAAGCGCATCCCCCTCCCGCCCCGTCCCTCTTTCGGGGCGCAGACCCCACACCCCTGGAGAGACACTGCACCAAGCAGTGACAGAAAAGAGGTGTCTGCTGCACCGGACAAGCGGCCGTCAGAAGGAGCCAGCTGGCGCCCGCTGGGACTCGCACGTGTTGCTTTTTGCATCTGCTCCGTTTTCCAGATCACACCTGCGAAACGCCCAGCAGGCGTGAAGTGAGGCTGCTCGTGCCCTGCTGCAGCTGGCATGGCTGCCCCGGTCCCGCGGTGCTGCTCAGGATGCAGCAGCAGCACCAGAACCATCAACAGCACCCAGCACCAGCAGCACCAGCACCACCAGCAGCACCAGCAGCACCAGCACCACCAGCAGCACCACCAACAGCACCAGCACCACCAGCAGCACCAGCAGCACCAGCAGCACCAGCACCACCAGCAGCACCAGCAGCACC